TAACTTCCTGTGTGCAATTTGCCGAGAGGATCCTCACAGATCCGGACCACCCATTGTATGCAGAACTGACACTATGTCATTCCCATCATTCAACACGCTCCCAATTCCGTCGAATTTCATCTCGAATTAATGCATACCGCAATTCACCCATACCGTATCTTGCTCGTCTACTCCCGAATTAATGCATACCGCAATTCACCCATACCGTATCTTGCTCGTCTACTCACAAACAAATAGAGAACAATGAGTGAACTTTGTCTTAACCTTGGATTATGAATGTGTTCATGCCTGTCAAAACTTTTCTCTCCGTTGATTATGTACATTGCGACGGTTAGCGTGTATGCTTTTTAACTGAAATGTGAGCTCCAGTGCTTGCAAAAGTTATACACAATACAATATAATACACAATACAAAAACAAGACAATTAGTTCTTAAGATTGTGGTTGAGCAGGGAAGATGGTTGGGGGGAATTCAACAAGTGTCATCCGGCTATTCACTTCACCTGCGAACTATAGAGAATAGCGGACAGCTACCCTTCTTAGATGTGTTATTAACAAAGCGAGACGACGATGCCATCCAAAGAAGCGTCTTCCACAAAACAACGTGGGTTGGACAGTACACGCAGTTTTGTAGCTTTGACCCCCTGAAATATAAACGCAACCTGGTCAGATGTTTATCATACCGAGCGCGTGCGATTTGCAGGGAGGATACAGTGCAGTCCGAGATACGTTGTATTCATGACGTATTTCTGACAAATGGTTACTCGGAAGCTGTTCTGATAAACATAAATGTTTGAAGACCAACACAAGCAAAATCTCTACCGTTCCTTACAAGAATTTTTTCCTTACTGTGCCGTTTAAGGGCGACGATGCCTTGGAACTTCTTAAAGGACGTTTGTCCACAGCGATCTCTAGAACGTACTCTGCAGCTCAACCGTATATCCTTACTACCACTCGGCCCTTGGTGTCCCGGCAAATTAAAGATAAGTTGCCTCTCCAGTCCAAATCTTTCGTTTTATATCTTTTTACGTGCACTTGTAGTGTGCGATACGTTGGACATACGACCAGGCGATTATTAAAACGTATTACTGAGCACTGCCCCGCTGCCCTCTACAAAGGAACGGTTCTCGGTCATCTCGTCGATAGCGGGCATTCTGTGAACAAATTGGATGCATTCAAAATTATTCACACTATACCCCGGAGATATTCCAAAGGGATAAGAAGGTGGCTCTTAACCAGAAACGAGGCGATTGTAATTCCAATATTCATTCCAGGATTATGTAAGCAAAAAAGCTGATCCAGACACTGTTATTTCCCTGGTCTGGACAGCGGATTGATTGTGCATAAAACAGAGCATCAAACCCCCTCCCTAACCCGCTTCCTTCGTCTACAGTACCGCCAACCACAATCTTAAGAGCTAATTATCTTGTTTGATCTCTAATGTCCCTTCCGGATTGCCTCACTTACTAGGCTTGACCCATAGTTTCTACCGTATATTACGTAAATTCCTCCCGCTCTCTCGTCTGAGCTCACAACCTTCATTTAATCTGCTCATCTCTCGAACGTTTGTCCATTTGACCTTTGTGTTCTCACCCCCGCCCACCCACGACTATCACTGCAGCCTTGTCATATTCGTTTGCTCTGTTTGCTCGCCCCCTGTCATCGTTACTAACTGAGCTCTCTAATCGGTCAATCAGAAATCTGTGTTATGATCACCTTATGTATGTAAACGCCTGATGCAATATATATCGAAAAGAAATTTCTTCGCGAATACTGTTTCCTCTTGAAATTCTTCCATATAAATGTGGTTGTAAGGCTTGAACAGGAATTCACCGAAAACATATGTTCGTTTGCATTATTTTCTAAATACCTGATTATCTACGGTAGCGGTATACTATAAATTTGAATCATGGAGTTCCATTTATCCATTTCATCAAAACAGAATGAAGACAAATGTCGTGAGATGTTAACATTTCGTTTATTCTTCTCAGTTGCCGACTTGAAACAAACAAACACTTATATAGCACATGGGATTAATCAACTATGTTGAACGAACGTGTATAAGCATACTAAGATCATTAAATTTAGAAGTGGAAGGTCAACTCCACGGTAAGTGGATTGCTTGTATCAAAAACGTCTGTTTGCACAAGGTCGGGTGATGTAATCGAATAAGCAATGCTTCACTAATCGCCAAAATTTTAGCGTTTTGATTATGTAATAGTGGTTTAAAAGACATACTGTAAATGTTATCACATTTGAACGCAAGCATAACGTAGATGGTCTACTGTGAATATCTATAAACCTTTCTGGATAACCATTGTTTAGCAATGTTCTCCTTAGGAAGTCTCCTTCTTCTTTCAGTGCATCTGGAGAGCAAATGTTTCTCGCCCGATGAAATAGGTAGGTGGATAAAATAGATAACCCATTCGAAAACGTGAGTAAAAAGACCATCTACATCAAGCTCGCGTTCAAATGTGATAACATTTACAATAATGTGCGCCACAAGTTGATTTCAGCTATATAGACCGTACATTCCCAGCTGCTCAACTCAGACTCATTGCCTCCACTCGTGGAATCGGTTTGAACAAAAGTAAACATGGCTGGCAAACCAGTTCTGTCTCACACACTGTATTCCAGTTCGCCTGCAATTGCGGTTACGCATACATAGGCAGAACAATCCGTCAGCTGTCACAACGGATGGCTGAATATATTCCAAAGTGGTTGGTGAAATCGATGACGCAAACGATAAATGATGGCCAAGTGAATAAAAGAAATCCAGAATCGTCTGTTGCAAAACATATCATAGCAACAAGACACAGTTGGCCCCAGTTTGTCTTTCAAACTACCATTACGCAATCGAAACGCTAAACTTTTGGCGATTAGTGAAGCATTGCTTATTCGATTACATCACCCGACCTTGTGCAAACAGACGTTTTTGATACAAGCAATCCACTTACCGTGGAGTTGACCTTCCACTTCTAAATTTAATGATCTTAGTATGCTT